ATGGGTATTTTACTTACACTACTCACATATCAATTACAAAACCATTATTTTCAGACTAATGTAAAAATTGTTAATTTAATTGACTATCCTATAATTAGGGTTTCAACAAAGTGCTGTCATTTATTAGCTGAAAAAGACTGGGTGATAGGTGTATTTAATGCATAGCATATTTGATTTCTCATCCTAGCCTGAAAACACTTAAAAGGATATCTTGATTAGCAAGTAGAAAGACAATAAGTCTTAAACTAAGGCGACAGAGGGCCTATAAACTAAGACATTAGGCAGATTTGGTTGGTTATTATGACTCTACCCTGGTCTTTTTATGTGGTCAGCCCTCTGAAGATTTGCTGTTATTTAAATTTTAATGTTTTTAAAATGGCATGGAAATGATATAATTACTACTCAATTACCTGCTTTTAAGGTACATTCCAGGTAATTTCTTTTTCTCTAAAATAAAATGAGTAAATTTTGCTATGCCTATAAACCTAGCAACAACACAGACAAACTCCTTTATTTCCCAGTTATGTTGCCTTGCAAAAGTGAGAGAAGCAAAAGAGGAGAGAGAGTTTTGACTCATTTGAGTCATATGAGTCGAGACTAGGATGCCTCTGTTGAGAAATGGTGGCACTTGGGAATCCCAGCTACTTGAGAGTCTGTAATCCCAATTACTTGGGAGGCTGAGGCAGGAGGATAGCAAGTTTGAGGCCAGCCTGGGCAACTCAGAGAGAACCTCATGTGAAAATAATAAATAAATAACCAACGAATCAACCAACCCACCTAGGTCACCTCCTGTTGTTGCTTCTTTAGGAGTTGGTGTGGCAAGGAAGCAAAGAGCAGAGAAGGCGCATGCTTGTTAAGGCATGAGGGCCTCCCATTTCTGACCCTCCTCTCTTCTCCTGGTGCTCATGAAACACTGGATGGGAATGGGAGTGGGGTGGGCTGGGGGATGGGGGTGGGCTGGGGGTGATGGTTTTAGGAGTTGGTGTTGTGTACACAGGCAGTGAAAAAACATCCTAGACTGTCACTTCTCCAACTCCTTCCTCCCTAGCCCTCCTGTTACTTTCCCCTCCCTCCCTCTGCTCTCAGAGTGTGCCAGGTATGTTCCCACCTCAGAGTCTTGGCACTATGTCCATGGTGTCCGACCTGGATTTCCAGGTTCTGCTCAATGTCCCCTCTCAGTGAACCTTTCCAGACCACCCAGCCTAAAACAGCACCATCTCCACATCTCCTCCTCCTAGAGAGTGGGAGCTGCAGAGCTCATGAGCTGACTTCCTGTAGCACCTGTCAACGTCTGACATATTGCACATAGTGTCTGTCTGCTGTCTAGGTCCCCCATGCACTAGACAGGAGCTCCGGGAGAGCAGCGGTGTTATTCTGTTTATTCAGGGATGTGTCGACTACAGTGCCTGTCACAGAGTAAAGTGTTTAGTGAATGTTGAATGAACGAAAGAAAAGAAGGGCTAGAAAGATGGCCGGAGATGCTGTTTCATGCTCCCCTCTCCAGGAAACCACAGGGGACTGATGCCACACATGCTAGGAGGACTGGCTCCTGCTGACCATTTTCTGTCAGAAAAGAAGGCTCTGCTTGCCTCTCCAGTCACAGGGCATCCTCTTAGGGAAGGAAACAGTGGTTTCTGTGGATGAAAACACTCAAACAAAAGAACTCTTATCCATAAAACAATTATATCCTCTCTTAGGAATAAAGAATGAAGTGATCAAAATAAACCATGCTTGAGAACTTTGCCTCTGAAGTCACCAACTACAAAGAAACTTGAATTTCCAAAGATTAAGGACATATGACTGGGCCCTACCTCGCATAGTGGGGAACCGTATGTCCAGGCGTCCCAGCTCTCCACCCTCCCAGCCTGAGCTCTGCAGCTCCCACTCTCTAGGGGTTGATGCAGAACATGGGCTGCAGCAGATACAGTGACTAGGAAAGTAAGTTAGTCATCACGAGCAATAGAAGCTGTGGGTCAAATGTCACTGACTAATCAACCCGTCATTGGTCAATTACCTATCTCCATGAAGAGGTGCCACTGATCTAGTTTCCTATCAATAAATGTCTATCTGGGCACATCAGCTGCTGTAACTGCAGCCTGCCAAGATATCCAGCACCGTCCACAGGCATTGGTGGCTAGGAAATCTCTCTCCCTTTCCTCTTAATAATGTCACAGAAGAGGCAAATGCAGTTCCTCACAACATAATGTTGGTTTCACCGAGACGTGTCTCTTTGGGCGCTCAGCTAGTTATACAGAGCTTCAATTGCATGGATCTTCTTACTGAAAAAACAATACTTGGGCTTATGGAAGTTGGAGGCTTCATACTGTGCTGAGATACACAATTCTGCCTCTGGTTGTGCTCCTGCTCATCATCCTCCCTCTGAGTCAGGAAAAGAAGAATTTTGGCGGGGGGCTGGAATAATTTTCATGCCACATTTAAAGAAAACCAAGTGGGCACTGCTCTCTCCTGCACCAATGACACATTTTCCTGGAGTCAGATTCAACATCTCTGATTCTCTGGTAGAGGCAGAGGCCAAGGTGGCCTTGTCCCATGAAGAGCCTGTTTGATTTCAATTGTCACCCTGGCAACAACCATATCAGGTTCCTGCCGAATCTAAAATTATAGATTTCCTACTGTACCTGCTACAATTCCCCCTCTATATGACAGCCCGCCTCATGCACATTTAACCTGTCAAGAGAAGCTTATTTGGAGTTGCCATAGGTTTACATGCCAGGTGGGCAGGGGGAGCCAGCAAGTAAATAATCATAATACAAATGCTGTGACAGGAACTCTAGACCAAACGCATGGGATGGCAGAAGAGGGTGTCTCAATAAGCCCAGGAGATGACAGAAGGTTAGAGAAGCACTCCCTAAGGGGTGAATAAGAAATAAGAGGGGATAAGAAATAACAATAAAGGGGAATAAGAAAGACAGGTAAGAGAAGGGAACGAGAAGGTGGTAAGAGGTGTAAGCAGTGAGAACAGGATGATCAGAGATTGGAAGGCAGGGAGTAAGAAAGGGCAGGCACCATAAATGCTAACAACTAAACAGCAAGACAGGCTGAGGTGCTGATGTAGAGGCTGCATGGCAAGGTGGAGGCTGAGAGAAGAGGCTGTACACACAAGGCAGAACATTGTTAAATAGGCGGTACTGCCAGGACTTCAGGGCTGGCTGGTAGGAGGGGGAGGAACAGGAGAGGTCGAGATTTAGAATAGCCTCATGTTTTTGGCTCAGGCAACAGATAAATTGGAGGGAAGGGGTGCTGCTGACTGAGATAGGGAGTCACGCCACAAGGTAACTTGAGAAGAAGGTAGAGGACAGAAGAACTTCACGTTAGATATCTTGATTTGAGATCACATGGTGGCAGAGGTGGGGAGGGGGCACAAAGTACCAAGGAAACGAATGGAATAAAGAAAATATCACAAGAGAGCAGGTACAGCTACTAAGCTGCCCGTTTGCTTCAATCTTCATTGGCAAGAAGACTGGCCTTCAAATTAGAAATGGCAGAACAAACATAATAAAGAGAAAATTGAAGTCCCAAATAGGTGAAGTGAAAGAAAAGAGAGTATCCAGTCAATTTAAATGATTTCAAGTCTCCTGGCTCAGATGAGTTACACCCCAAGCCTGCTGAAAGAAATTGCAGATGTAATCTCAGAGACACGACTGGTAATCTTTAAGAAATTGTGGGGACTATAAGGAGTGCCAGAAGACAAAAGAAGGACAACTGTTTCCCAGATTTTTAAAGTGAAGAAGAATAGATTATAATGGAAAATATACAAGCAAGTTTCACATAATCTGTGACAAAAATTCTCAAACAGCTTATTAAGTAGGTGGCTGATGAGTACTTTAGTTAATCCATGCAGCTAATGAAAGGAAGGGGGGTGTTGTTTGCAGTGTGACAGTTTTTATTTGTACTGGTAGCCTGTCTAGACTGGTTGTGGCTGGTCTTGTACCCCTCCCTAAGCCTAAGTGAGTGATCTGGCCTTCAGTCTAAACTAAAGGCTTCTCTGATTTGGTTCTTTATGGTACTAGGCTTGTGACATGGCCCTTGATGAAAAGGGGTTGCCAATTTAATGAAGAAATAGTCTGAATTTGCCAAGAAATCCAGCACCAAGTCCTCAGGGTGCTTGGGAAACCTCTGGGGTTATTAGCCCCTTGACAAATCTGTGCCTGTCACACTCCTACTGCCTTATTTTTGTTAGTTCTCTCTTTCAATACACTGTCTTAAAGAAGAGAACAGGAAACGACACAGCAAATGTGGCACACGATGGGGTGGAGGAGGCAGTCACGAGCCTCCAACACCTACACCCCAGGCAGACTGAGAAAGATTCATAGAAAGACATTTTTTACAGGAGGACTTTGGAGGTCTTCTGGAAAGGGCAGGGCAGGGCAGGGAAGCCTACTCAAGATCCAGATGGCCTTCTTCAACTAAAAGTATTCTGTCAAGGGGCAATACTAGTCTCCACTTAAAAATTACATATTCCTACAAATCAAGCAAAGTTAAAGTGCCTTTCTTAAAACAAAAAAGGGATAATGAAAAACAACCCAGACACAAAGTTACTAACAAAATTTTAGAACCAGGTTTCATAGTCATATCTGTTTGGTTCATATGCAGTCATTTATTAACACTGAAAACAATTTTTCATTCTATGTAAGACCTCTTTTGACATGTTACCCTGTCTCTAGCCAATGCAAATGAAGACTTGGGAGGGAGTGAACCCGGCCCAGGTGGGCCTCTTCTCTAGTCCCCCATGCCTGATGTCGGTGCCTCTCCCCACCAGAAATCCAAATGTATGTCGGTGCCTCTCCCCACCAGAAATCCAAATGTACATCTGGAATTGTACTGCCCCAGCCTTCCACTCCTACCCCCTTCTGCATGTTCAGATCAGAGAACAGCAGAATTTCATCACTGAAGTTATTGAGGTCATCATTTTATCAAAATATAATTTTCATAAAAATAGTTACATTTAAAAACTAATTAATGAGCAGAAATAATCTTACCGTATTGATCCAATCATGTATGGTTGTGCCAGCTGAACCACAATCGCACCACTTCCTAGCTGGTGACACGTGTAGCCAGAATCCCAATCATAATTTTTTGTGTCCCCATTCAGCAAGGCATTTCGGCTCCGACTGACTCCTTCGATCACACTGGCACAATCAGCAATTGTTGCAACATTCTCCATGGGAACTGTGAATGCAAACCCAAGATTTGGCATTAGGATAAGAGAAGTCAAATAGATTCCAAAAGCATGAGCAGAAGAAAATTAATTAATTACTATCTCAAATCAACAATAACAGGGAAATTAGAACATCTTGATTATCTTAATACAAGAATTTTCCATGCCAAATAATTTTTAAAAAGTTGAACTTAAGGTTAGAACCAAACCATATGTAGCAATTAATCCTATAGTATTTTATTATGAAGGAACACAATAACATATTAAATACAGGGTGGATATATATATACCATAAAATATTATCACAAAGAGAAACTACAGAAATTGAGATTGGTGTGTGTGTGGTGCTGGGGAACAGACCCAAGGCCTTGCACACACTAAGCAGGTGCTGTAACCCTGAGCTACATCCCTGGCCCAACAAATGAGATTAACGAGCTATAAATATATACATATGTTAAGTGGGAAATTCATAAAATTCTGTATTTTAGAATTCACAAAGCAGGAAAGTGATCGAGGACATGTTACCAATCGCTTCTCAGAAAGTACAGTTGGCCTCAGCCGTGATTCATTTCCTTTTCTTGTTTACTATTCTGTCACTGCAACACATTTGCTCTTTCCTTTGTTCATGAACCACTGTATCTTGAAAACCCAGCTGTGTTTTGATTCTCAGTCTCTCTATATACTCCAAGTCCATATCAACCTGCTCATTTATAAAAGTCAAGAGCTTCCACAAAATGATGGCTGCCCAGTATGGTAAAGATTCTCTAAATACTGAGGAGAGAGCAATACAAGATAAGGGCATTTTAAGTCCCTGGGCCTTTTCTACAGGGTTTCTACCAAAATCTGCAATTTTCTTTAGACATTTTAGACCAAAATCGACAATGTCAACTTGCTATATTTTTCAGTATATTATACTCTCTGAAAATACAGAGAATGAGCAATACTATCATCGTGCCAAAACACTCCTAACTTTATAATGATGTGAAGTAAATAATCCTACATGTATCATCTGAGCAATGCATTTATTTTCCAAAGTTGGACTTAACACTTCATCTCACATACTTCACTAATTGCTTTGCTTTTTGAAAATGAGAATGGCCACAGAGTAGGAAGGAATGAAGGGAAGGAGGGAGAGAGACAAGATGGTTTTCTGGTGACGAATTCTTTGACTCTGAAGTTTAACTCCAAAGAAACAAGCAAAACACTGGTGAAACCACCAGTGAAGAAAATTTCATGGCAGAAAAGGGGTCCAAAGACAAGCTCCCCATGACTTTAGAACAAAACAAAGGTAAAGAAGTATCTTCAGAGGGCAAGTCCTGACATCTCCATCTCCAGGAAAAGAGGTAGCATTCCCTAATGAGAAGGGAGGACTTCCAGAAGTGGCACAAGACGCACAGTGAATGGAGCTGAGCTCTGAAACAGCACTCTAGCGCAGGCTATGCTGCAATGACAGACAGTCCTCCAGTCCCCTAGTGGCTTCATGTAGCACGTTTATTTTTCACAGTTCACATTTTGTACTTAATCAGCCAGGTGGCTCTGCTCATGATATCACAAGAGATCCCAATGACAGAGTTTTATATTGACAATCACAGCAGCAGGGAAGAGAATGATCTGGACACTGGCTCTTAAAATATTTCCCCAAAGCAATATGCCATTATGCTCACATTTCATTGGCCAAGGCAAGTCACATGGCTTTAAAAGGTTAGGCAGGACAGAAAGAGCCATTCTGCTGTGTGCACAGGAGAGGTACTAAGAGGAAAAAATAGATATTAAGTGAACAATATTAACATCTATCTTATCAGGACAAAGGAACATTCAATAGAAACATAAATACGATCATTTGTTTAAAGTCTATAAAGTATTTCAATGTATAAATTCCAAAATGTATACATCTAGCTTCCCACTAAAGGGTATTTAGACCGTTACCATTATTTTCTTCTTCATTACAAACAGAAGTGTGTCCTTGTGTTCCTGGCTAAGAATTTCCTTAAAGGAATATATACTTGCTGTATAGAATAATAGAAGATAATTAATAGAAACAATAGAAAAGAATTATACTCATACCCATGTTTCTCTTCAACTTCCCTGAATATTGCCAAATTACTCACCAAAGCAGTTATAAACATTTACTTTCAACTCACTAAAAGTAACTCTTGGTAATACTGGACAGAGAGTACGAAATTATACATCAGTGTGGTTTTAGTTCTTCACCCTTTTTCTTAGATGAAGTTGAACCTTTTTTTCTACCTCTCCTCTGTAAATTGCCTATTTTTTTAACCTTTTGCCTATTTTTCTATTATCCTTCTATAACTGATGTGCAGGATGACAATCTTTTGTAGGTTAATACTGAGTAGAAATATTTAATCTTTCATTTGTGATTTGAGCTCTCCCTTTCTGGTTTGTAAATTATTTCCTATACCCAATCCATAAAGATATTTTCCTGTATTTTCTCCTAAAAGTGTTCAGATTTTCCTTTTCACATTTTAATCTGCTTAGAATTTATTTTTGGAATGCTGTGAGATAGGAATTATTCTCATCTTTTATTCATAAGGATGGCCAATTTCCCCAGCACCATTTAATGAACAGTCTGTCCTTCTCCCCACTAATTTATGCTACTGTAGTCATGTATAAAGTTTTCCTATGTGCCGGCACCTCTCTTTAAGATCTCTATCCTGTTTCATGGATTGCTTTGCCCAGCTTTGTGCCTCCACCATGCTGTCTTGGTTACTATAATTTTACAGTAATCTTACAGTCTCCTAATAGTAGTGCTTCTCCTCCTCATCTTTCCCTTCTTTTTCTTCAAAACTGTTTTAGATATTTTAGTCCTTTCAGTTAATTTTTACATTTTCAGTTTCTAAATACACTGACGTAATTTTCCAAAGCATACCCTCTCTCTCTTTTTTTGGGGGGGGGGTACCAACAATTAAACCCAGGGGCACTTAACCACTAAGTCACATCCCCAACCCTTTTTATTTTTCATTTTGAGCCAGTCTTGCTAAGTTGCTTTATACCCTCTTTTTCATTTCAAATATCATTTATGTATATTTCTTTCTTTTTTGATCAGTCCTGTACTTGTTTTCTTACTTTATCTAGGCTTTCAAAGAACCAACACTTAATTTTTCTTTTTTATCCTATTTCACTAAGTTCTTCTCTTCATTATTTTCTGCCTTCTGCTCCTTTGGATTCACTCCCTCTCACCCCAACCACCCACTACTTGAAGTGAACGCTTAACCCCTTTCTTCTTTTCTTCCCTTTTTGCAGTGCTGAGGGTGGACCCAGGGCCTTACACGTGCTAGGCAAGTCCTCTGCCGCTGAACCACATCCCATCTCATGAGCACTTCGCTCATTAATCTTTTTTTCTTACAAAAGTATTTAAAGCTAACATTTTACTTCAAACTCCTGTTTTCACCTTTATCTTCAAGTTTTAACATACTACACAGTGTTTAAAAGAGCACTGGTCAGGTATTATGTAGAATGTCCCTCAACCTGCATTTGTCTGATACTTCAAAAGCTGACTACTTTCAAATGTTTTCGAATTTTCATTATAATTTTTCTTTGTTCATTCAGAGTATGTGTTTAGCTTTCCAAATATAATTTTTCATGTCATCTTTTCATTGCTAATTTTTAATTCCATTGCAAGGTAGACAAAAGGTGTGGTCTGTGCAGTAATGAGCATGCAGCATGTGGTCTGTGCAGTAATGAGCATGCTCTGTGGCACAGTATGTGATTAATTCTTAATATTTCATGTGTATCTGAAAATAAGTGTGTATTCTCTAATTTGAGGGCTGTGGAGTTCTATATATGTCTACTAAATCAAACTTGTTAATTGTTATTAAAATCATTTACATACTTACTAGTTTTTCAGAGACATTTGTTAAAAATCTCCTGCTATGACTGTAGTCTTGTCAGGTTTCTCCTTATAATTCTTTCAATTTTGTTTTATATATTCTGGGATCACATCATTTCATACACATCATTTTAGAATTATTAAAGCTTCCTGGAGGACTAGACCTTTCCCATTACATACTGTTGCTCTTACTCCTAATAATGGCTTTACCCTGAAGTCTACATTATCTGATGTCTTTACTTTGGGTACTATTTTCTTAGTATCACACTACTTTTTAATTTCCTAGTCTCTTGTAAATAACATACAATAGTTTTAAAATAAGCTCAGTGTTCTGTGTTTTTTAATGGGCAGATTTATTTACAAGTTTCTTCTTTGCTGCTTTCCTTAGAAAATTGGAGCAGAGTGGACATAAAGCTAACAATTTGATGGTTTCCTTTATTTTCCTCACCAGTTCTCTCTATTGATTTGGTTTGGAAGTTGTACATTCCATTCTACGATTTTGCTAGTTATTTTTAGATAATCATATCAGACTTAACAATGCCTAAAGCTGAAAACTGCATAGTCCCTTCTCCTGAACAATACAGAAGACCTTAAATATTTTTTAATACCAATCGCTTAGTGGCTTGTCATTATTATCTAACATTTTAATTCTACTCTGTTTTATATTCTCTAAATTAGTCATTACTAGGGGCTGGGGTTATGGCTCAGTTTATCCACATTCACCAATTTGTTCGCTATTACTTTTTAAATATCCCCCCTCCTTTTGGTTCAACTTTCTTCAACTGATGGCGTATCTATTAGTATTCGGCCAAGTTTTTGTTTGAAGGTGTATGTTATAGTTTGGACAGGAGGTGTTCCCCAAACACTCATGTGTGAGACAATACAAGAATGTTCCCAGGTGAAATGATTGGGCTAGACAGCCTTAATCTAATCAATGCATTGACCCACCCACACAGATTAACTGGGTGGTAGCTACAGGCAGGCAGGGTGTGGCTGGAGGAGGTAGCTTCCAGGCACTGTGCCTTTCGGGTATACACTTTGTCCGTGGTGAGCACAGCTCTCTGCTTGCTGACCGCCATGTCCTGCTTCCCTCCACCACGCCCTTCCACCATGGTGTTCCGCCTCACTGGGGCCCAGAGCAAAGGCAGCAGCAGCCATGGGTGA